TCCAGGCCGTCAAAGTGGGGTCGGAGCAGATAGGGCCGGAGGATCACGCCGCACCGCCGATGCATCAGCAATTCGGCGCGATCTGGAGCGCAATTCCCTCGGTCCCGATGCCGCAGCTGCATCAGCGGTGCATCAGTGATGCGGTGCGATCCTCCGACCCTTCCTTCTCTGGTCCCATTGGGGAGGCTATCCAGGGACTTGTGTACAGTCATGCAGTCCAACACCTGGACAGCAGAGCAGCTGACGCGCGGGCGCGGGTGTTCGAGAGCGGACGCGCCAGCGCGGGCTCCCAATTGCGACCAGCGTTGGTCTGCAATCACCCGGGCGCCAATTTCTGTGCACCAGCGTCTGATCTAATTAGTGCTTCCAAGATCGCGGTTCTTGGACGTGTCTGGCTTCTTTCCTCACCAGAGGCCTCCGGGGGACCTCAGGCCATTGGGGTCCTATAGAGGCCTGCGAGCACTTGGGTAGACGTGGGGTGCTTGGCTGATGCACGAGTACGAATTGCAGAATCATAATTTCTCCGAGGTTCGAAAGCTTCTGTGTATGTTGTATGTCTTTCCTCCTTCTAATTACTGGAGGTTTTCGTCGCCACGGCTGGGCGCGCTAGAATGAACACCAGGAAGGGTCCGAGAACCCGCTTTAGGCAGACTCGAGTGTGTGTGTGTGTGTTGTGTGTGATGTAGTGTGTGTGTGTTGTGTGTGGTGCGTGTGTGATGTGTGTGTGTGTTTGTGTTTGTGTGTTTTGTGTGTGGTAGGTGTGTATGTGCTCGCTCCGACTCGCAAGCGGATTGCTTCTGCCTCGCCGCGACGGAAATTGTGTGTGAGTGTGTGTCTATGTGTGCGAGTGTGTGTGCGCGCGTGTGTGTGTGCGTGTGTGTGTGCGTGCAGTTGTGTGTGTTTGTGTTTGCGTTTGCGCTTGTGTTTGTGTTTGTGTGTGTTGTGCTTGTGCCAGTGCTTGTGTTTGTGGTTGTGTGAGTGGTGTTTGTTTGTGTGTTTGTGCTTGTGTTTGTATGTGTGGTGTGTATGGTGTCTGTGGTGTGTTTGTGTGTGGTGTGTGTGCGTGGTGTGGGTATGTAGTGTGTGTTGTGTTTGTGGGTTTGTGTGTGCTGGTGTGTGTGTGTGTGTGCGTGACCCCCCGGCCTGCCGAGGAGCCCGCCTGCAGGCTTTGGCCCATGGTGCCGGAGCATCTGTCGGCGGCGAGTGAGGGCGGCGGGAGATGACCGGGGGCCCCCAAACGGTGTGGTGACCACACCGTGCGGTGAGTCGGTGGGGATTCGGGGTCACAGCACGGTTTTGGGATTCGAGTCTTTCTCCGAGGATGTCTCGGGCGACAGGGGCCTCCCAGGGTCCCAAGACCGTGCGGTGACGGACCGTGCGGTGAGGTCTTGGGGGGGTTCGAGGTCACCGCACGGTCTGTCACCGCACCGCTTCGGGACCAAATGAGAAGGAGGAGGCCTTCTCACAACGCGGCGGGGCTTCTCAGAAACCCTGGCGCCACCTGAGAGGTCTTCTGTGTCTGCGGGGAAGGCTTGGAAACTCCGAAGGCCCGAGGACTTTGGAGCCTTGTGAGAAGGCTCCCCCCGTGCTCGCCGCCGATCTTCGTCACCCCGCCGTCGCCGATGCATAGACGATGCCTCGAGTCCAGCGGTGGTGATGCGTACCTGTGACGCGGTAGATTGCTCCAGAGCATTCCGCGACGCTCTCAGAGCTTGCTGGCATCCTCTTGAACCGCTGCGGTGCCTAGTGACCAAGATGACGAACTTGAGAATGTATGAAGGAAACCAGGTTAAGAAGAAATTGTTTGCCGCTGGGGAAGATCTTGCAAAGGACAATCAACGCATCTAATTGACGACGACGCCCATGAGCAGGCCTACGCCCAGGGCGCTGCTGCTGCTGCGTGACCCAACCCCCCGCACGGCATTCCTTGATTGCCTCCCGAACATCCTCCATTTGTCCTCGTCCGCATTTGCCTTCATCCTGCCTTCGTCCCACCTCTGTGTGCCGGGGCGGAAGAAAGGGGGAATTGGAAGAGGGGGGGTGTACGTACGGATTCTGCTGCATGCAGCTGGTTTCGACCCCGTTGCCCGTTGCGCTCCCCGATGCCCTGGTGCCTCCTGCGTGGGGGACGCCTGATTGCTAATCCCCCCTTGGCCATCCCCCCCCTTTCGTCTGCCGCGGGGGGAAGATTTCGCAGAGGACGATCAACGCATCTCGATGTCGACGACGCCCATGAGCAGTCCTGGAACCCCATTTATTAATCTGCGCGATGGCTAGACCCGCATTGGCCATTTCCCCCCCTTTCGTCCGACCCGAGTCCTGCCCCCGTCCAACCCCTTGTGCTCTCCGTCTCGCAGGCAGGGTGTGGCGGAGCCGGCGGCGGGCCGAGCGGCAGGAGGAGGAGCAGCTGGCGGACCGCGGGCGACCGCCAATAAGGGAGACACAGCGGTTCACAGATGGGGTCCTGGGGTCGTTGCGTGATACAGTCAGGACCGCCTTGGATTTGGAAGGAGCTCGCTGTTCCTGAGGTCTCTAGCCCTCCTCGTGCACCCAGGCGCTGTTGGCGCCAGAGAGGTGTTTCGTTTCTCATTCAGCGTTCTGTCCGGCAGTGTCATTATCGTGGCATAGCGGTTCGAGGGAGAAGATGGCAGTTTGGGGATGCCCTTTTGGGCGGTCATGGGCGATTCCAACCTCATGCAGGGAGGGATGAACGCCCCCATGTGGCCCTGAATACTGGATGCGCAGGTACCTGCTGCAGATCAGCAAGCCTTCACCTGCTTCCCACCAGTGGGCAGGGCGAGATACGTCGACGACAAAACGTCTCCAAGGGTCTGTACCTTACGACGGCACTATGAAGCTCATCCGGACGGCGTCCTGGAAGCAGCGCGTCGGAGTCCGGCTGTACCTCGTGGCACAACCGCACCTCACCGTAGGCAGGGCGCCACGAAGACCAGCAACGTTACGCCCCCCGCACAGCGAGACCAAGGTCGCGCGCTCAAGGGCGGCATGCAGGAGATGCGCAAGGCGAGGTGGAAGTACGAAAGCGGCAAAAGGATGCGCCGCGAGAAGCAAGACTATATCCTTTTCGAATAACATTCATAGCAGGATAAGGAGATCCAGTAGCTGTAGCACACCAGTTATATCACGGACACCATATTCGAGGAAGTGCGTGAAGACGCGGAGCAGGTCACAGCCCACCTGTTCGTAGTTCGTCGAGCAAAAACTACCGATCTACCTGAACAGCACCACCTTCGCCAAGATGATGGAGAAGGGCATCGTGGACTTATGCAAGCAGCACAGGCAGTTCGCGCTGACGCAAAAACCCATGGGCAGCGGGAGACAGGGAGGACCACGCATGGCGGGCAGAGGTCGCCAGCCTTACGGGACAGATATGCCACAACGGCCCGGCTTCCGAGCAAGGGCCGGCACGCGGAGGCGGCCGCGATGGGGGCCGCAGCTGCAGGAGGCATCTGGACAAGGACACGGGGGCGGCACCCTCCACTGGCAGGAGAAGGCGAAGCAGCGCGCGCCAGGCGCGGCGGGAACAAAACTGGAGCAGATGCAGGCCGCCACTGCCCGCGCCCAGTTAATCAGGACATCGGCCACGACCGCAGCGACATTCTTGCGAAGAAGACACATTCACGAGCATCGACGCGGCAGAAGCACAGGCATTTCTGGTCGAGAAGCGCCCCTCCGAGCGGACGCAACATGTCGGCCGCGAAGTAGATTGGCAAGACGCAGCGCAGCTCTCCCGCGCGAGAGCCGACGTCCAGCCACTCCTGCGGCTTTGAGCTTGTCACGAAGCTCGTTGTCCTCGTGGTCGAAGCCCACGGGCACCGCGCTGGCTGGATCCCCGATGAGGGGAGCTGCAGACTGAGAAGCCCAGGACCATCAGGCGGGGAAGCAGCGTCTGCGGTGGGCGGCTTCGTCAGCTGCGCCTTGAGCTCCTCCTTGACGGTGGCCGCCTGGAGCAGCCCTGCGGCATTCAGCCCGAATCGCCCTGCGTACTTCCGCACCGCTTTGTCCAGGACCTCGGGCATCGCAAGCTCCTGAGCAGGATTGACTTCTTCTGGTCCAGATGGCGGCTCTGGGAGCACCGGCTTGGACTGAGTTTCCTTGATGTAGAACTCGATTTGGCCAAGGGTGTCTTGGTGAGCCTTGTACTGCGCGATCTCCGTCTCGTGGAGACGCTGCGCCTCCTGCAGCGCCTCCTTCGCCTCCTTGACCCTCTCCTCGGGCTTCTCAATATGCTTATTCTTGCGAGTGCGCCTCTGGAGAAGATGCTGCAAGCTCTTGGCGCTGAGGTCGGCAGGCGCAGGCGTCTCTTCCTTTTCCTTGAACGCGCCCTGCAGCTGCGACTCCAGCTCAGAGCCTTCCTTGAGACCTGTTTCCTTGAGCAACTTGCAAAGATCTTCATTGGACAAGGCTGCCGCAGCAGCTGTCTTGCCCACTTTGCCTCCGCTGCCACCTTTCCCCCATTTTGGAGGAGCCGCGGAGGTCCACTGATCCTGCGGTTGGGGGTGGGCGACGCTTTGGCATTCTGTTTGACACGAAGCTGGTTGAGAACATGCTGCGGTGCCTTCGCGCCACAATCCCGAAGGCTCGACCTGAAGGAAAAGTTGTCGAACGCGCAGCTCGAGTTGCGGCAGCGCCACGTGGCTTAGCCTTAGGCTGCCTGCCACGGAGGCCCATTGCCACCTTGATTCATGAAAACACTGGGATGCCTCGGTCAAGCTGGCGCCACTTCCAAGTGCGCTGTACCAAAGGTTCGCAAATCAGCTCGGAACCTGGAAATGGCTTGAGCCAAAATGGCTACGGAGGAGGAAGAGGTGTCTTTCCCCCGTTGATGGCCCCTTGCCCGCTGCCGAGCGCCAGCCGAGGACTGGCGGCGTTTCCGCGCCCGCCTGGTCGAACGGTCGAAGGCCGAGGAGGGCGGCGCGGCTGGCGCCGAGGGGGGGGAGGGCGTCACCGACGCGGCCGGGCAGGGCGCGCGCGGCTGGATGCACCCCACGCCGCTGATTGAGAAAGGACTGTCACCAGTGCAGTCACAGAGGGTCCCCCTCCTGCTCCTCCCTCCCCCCTCCCCCCCCATCGTTCTCCTCCTCCTCCTCCTCCTCTCCTCCTCCTCCTCCCCTTTGATCTCGATCCCCCACCTCCTCATCCTGCTTCTCCTCCGCTTCTCCCCTTCCCGTCGACCCGGCGGGGCGCAGAGTCAAGGAAGCGCAAACATACATTGAGTCGCCTGGATTAGCGTCGGGTCCCACTTCCGTCGAGGCAGCGAGAACATTGATTGATGCACCCCACGCCGCTGATAACGAGAGAGGATTTTCTCCGACCTGGATCTGCAAGGAACTGAAAATTCGATTCGCCAGTTGTCCGTCGTCTTCGGCTGGGGGCCTTCTTCGGGCCCCGGGGCCGTCAAAAAAACAACTCGGGATGAAGGCGGCCCCGGGGAAAGGGTCGGGACTGCTTGAAAACTTGCAATCAAACAGGCAATGCAGCATATCTCTCAGAATGCAGGGACAGGTCCTCCTCTCCTCTGCTCGTCCCCGTTCCCATCCTCGTCCCTTTTCCTCCTCATCTCGATCCTCCGCGTCCTCCCCCCCCCTCCCCCCTCCCCTCGGGGCTAGGAGCTTGGAGGCTGCCTGAGCGCATTGGTAGCTTTCGGCGGGGCGCAGACGGGGACGGGCCGAGCAGGGCCCACTTCGATCCGATCGATGTCGAATTCGGCTATCCCGATCCGACGTCGATTTCCGATGTTTCGACGTTGCGATGTGACTCGGAGCTTGCATGGCGGTGTCGCGTATTTCTGGCACAACCGATCTGCTTCGATTTGGATGCAGTGCCGACGCGGCCCAATCCGACGCACGTCCTGACCCAATCCGATGTCTCGATTCGATGCTGACCCATCCTGGCCGAGAGAAGTGACCTACTAGGAAGGCAGGTGTTGCTTAGAGGCCCTCCCGGCTTCTCCGAAGCCTCAAAAGTTTTCTTGGCCCTCCTGGGAAGGCCCGTTGACTCAGAAGGCCATACCCCCTCGCCCCAACCTTGCGGCGGCGCGCCGCCAAGGATTCTACAGACCTGAGGTTGGCGTCGATGTCATTGATTTGAAAGTTTGGGAGCGTTTCCGGGGCTGTTCTTCGCCTCAACCGAGCGCGGCTCGACAAAATCGATTTGCCAGGATAGACAGACATCGGGAGTGATCTCGGGACCCGCTTTTGAGCCGATGTCGTTCGGTTGTGGGCCAGGGGGACAGCTCTCTGAGAAAGCCCACCCTGTAGGACCCGTTTCGACCCGATCGATCCGATTCGACATCGATTTCGGCCGGCCTGATTCGATTTGATTCCGCTTTTCGGGCGATCCGATGTGGCCCAACGCTTGCATGGCGACTCTGTGCGTCCTGGCACAGCCGACCCGAGTCGACTTCGGTTCCGTGCCGATGCGGCCCTATCCGACGCGCGTTCCGATCCGATCCGATTCCCCGCGGTGCTGACTGATCCTGCCCGGTGCCAGAGGTTCTCAGGAGGGGAAGAAACACACAGACACACTTGATCGTCGATCCCCAGGAACATACGGGGGAATGTGGGAAGTGGGGGGAAGACGAACACCCAGAATATATACATATATATATATATATGTATAGATATAGATATTGATATATATATATATATATATATATGTACATAAAGATTGGGAACATCCTGGGATTTGTGTGTATTTATTTGTGTGTCCCTGGGCCCCTTCATTGGGGTGCGTCGGCTCCCCAGCAAGGCCGGGAGGCCACGTGCGCACCGGAGCCTGCCCCGAGGTCGGCCTGGGCGGTCTGACGGTGGCGTACGGTGGGGGTGCGCCTCAAGAAGCCACGGGAGCGACGCAAAAAAAGGGGGTCGTCGTCACCGACGCTGGCGCGTAAGCCGCCCGCGTAAGCGCCCTCGTCCCCAATGTGGCGTGCCACGATGGCGGCCAGCGCAGGCCGCCGCGTAAGATTCTCGCGTAAGTCCTGTGTTTGATTGTCGCTCACGTGCTTTTCGTGGGGGACGCCGTGGGCTTCTGAGCTCCGCGCCGCGTGCGCGGTGGCTTCTCGCGACCGCAAAAGAAGCTTCTGCGTTCAGGGCGCGCCGGGTCTCTCCAAAGTGGCGCCTCGGGCGCGGATGTTCAGGGCCTGGCCTTGTTGCGAGGGGGTTATTGCGCAAAGTCCGCACCGTGTGCATGTCTCTTTCTGCCCGGAGGATCGGTGCTGCTGTCCCAGCCAGGGCCGTTGTTCATCGAGCAGCCTTTCTTCCACAAGGTCCTGCGAGAGCACAAAACGTTCTGGACGTCGTCGGGCGTGGTTGCTCCTCGGTTCTGGCCCCCAGCGGCCCGCTCCGGGCCCGGGACCGTCAAAGAGCCGCTGGGAACAAACGCAGCTGCAGGGAAGACATCGGGACCTGCGGAGAGCAGAAAGCCACGTAGACAAACGCAAGCTTCCAGACGCCCGCCGCCAGCTCCTCCGCCGGCGGCTCCGCCCGCCGACGTCGGACAGTTTGTGCTGACCGTTCTCGACAGGCAGTGATCCTCGTCGTAGAGCACGGCGAGAGGGACGGAACTTTGGGCCTCATCTTGAACAGGCCCACGGCTCTGCTGGCCGAGTTCGGCGAGGGCCTCAGCTTGAACGTCTGGTACGGCGGCCCCTGCAATGGCCTGGAGGACCCGGCCGAGGAGCAGTGGGCTTGCTGCCTGCACACCCGAGCCGACCTGGTCCCCACTTTCCTCTTCCTGTACCCTGTCCTTCTCCTGCTTCGCCACGTCCTTCCTCCCCAAACTGCCGACGGACTTGTTGTTTGAATCCTCGGGCCCCGCTTGACTCGACCCCTTCCCAGAGGGCAGCGTGTCATCCTGGATTCATCGATGATGGCCCTGGGGCCCAGAAACGGCCAGTGGAAGCCGAAAGATAAGAAAATGCTGGAATTGAGAAAATTCAAATTCCAGAAGTCTAGGCCCTCCCCTTGGAAACTCGGCTCCTAAACGTGTCCTAGGGCGCCGTCTGACCAAAATCACGAGGCGGATCCAGCCGAGGTGACGAGAAGCTTCCTGGAGGCCCGAAAGGGCGAGAAATTTCAACACCTCAAATTTCAACCCTTCTCATTATTCGTTCTCCCTCCTCTTCCTTCTCGTCCTCAATCCTGGTCCTCCCCCTCCTCCGTCGGCGCAAATCGACGCTATGTTCGAGGAGCCGATAATGGAGGGGACGTACATGGTTGATCTCGAGGACGCCCTCGACCACATTATCTCCGGGCGGGCGGAGGCTGACGATTTCGCGTACATCGTGGGAAATTGCGGTTGTCCGAGAACGGCACGGCTACACGACCAGCACCGCTCTTGGCCAGGGCAATATTGGGCCCCGGGATGGTGCATATTACCTTCCTGGTCGTGGCCCTGGCCAGGGATGGTGCTGGGGTGCAGCTGCCCTTTGCGGAGGTTGGGCCCCAGAGCAGCTCCAGGGAGAGCTGGACACGGGGGTCACCTGGAGGATTCAGGGGCAATGTTAGGAGGAAATGGGCTCAGGTGGGGAGCATCGACCCACAATCGCCCATTCATCGCCGCTAGGGGCTCGATGCCCCGCCCCGCCCGGGAACGTGCCGCTTGGTAATCATCGGGGGCCTGTCGACGATCTGCTGGCAATGTCTGGGGAATCGATTAACAGTTACCAGTACCGCCACTCCCCGGACCTGCCCCGGGGCGCATCCTGACCAGGATTCCGAGGAGAACCCAGCCGTGGCGACGAGGGCCTCCCGGGCGAGCAGCGGTATCTGTAATTACCTCTTCCTCGGACAGTGCCCCTCCTGCCGTTGCCCTTCAGGATGGTGGCCGCGGACGCCGCCACAGTGATGGATTTCGAAGGGCCCCAAGTGTACGCCTACATCGATCCTGGCCAGGCCGATCCTGGGCCCAGCGCCGGTGTACGTGCCTTCCTGCCCGAGCCAGGAGGCCGTGTACACCGATCCTGGGTCCAGGATGAGCCTGGCCAGGATCGGTGCATCTGCTCTGACCCCATCTGCTCTGACCCCATCTGGGAGCCCTCTAGTGCATGCTCAGGATCGGTATACGTGTATACATGCCTTTCTCCCCAAACCACGAGGCCGTATACACGGATCCTGGGTCCAGGATGAGCTCGGCCAGGACAGTTGCATCTAGGCCTCCCAGGTGGGGTCAGAGCAGATAGGGGGCGGAGGATCGTCAATTCCTCGCCGATGCATCGGCAATGCGGGTCGATGTGGAGCCCGAGATTCTCCACGCCGACGTCGCCGATGCGCCGCCGATGCATCGGCGATGAGTTGACCATGCGGCGTGATCCTCCGACCCCACCTGCTCTGACCCCATCTGGGAGCCCCCTAGCGCATGCTCAGGATCGGTGTACATGCCTTTCTCCCTAAGCCAGGAAGCCGCATGCACCGATCGCAGGTGTAGGCGTGTGGTTGGCGTCCTCCCAGGACTCCTTGCGCGCCCAGCGGCGTGCCCAGCGGCGCCTCCAGCGCCTCCGCGGCTCGCCCGGCTTCGGGCGCGGCCTGCCCGCGTGGCGGCGCTTGTTCCAGCGCCTGCCGCGGGGCGCGCCCGTGGGGCCCCTGCAGGACGAGGTTCTCCCGGCGTTCCAAGGGGAAACACTTGAGATCCGGGCTCGGCGACGAAATGGGAGCCCTGCCCTCGCAGATCAACTATATTCAGGCAACTCGATGGACGGCGGGCGTAGGGTTCGGAATCCGTCGAACACGTGGCGACAACCGAACCCTACCCCCGCCTCCCACCGATTGAGGAGAATCGATGGTTGGTGAGGGTAGGGCACGGGTGTCGCAGCCTGCGGGCGTTGCAATTTGCTCACTCTGGGCGTGTTTGCCTGGCATCGGGACCCAGGAGCATCAAAGATCCGTCGGACTCGAACAGTGCCGCCGAAAGCCGCCCCCCGCCTCCCGCTCCTCGCATTCTCCCTCCCTCCTCCCTCGGGGAGGAGGGAGCGAGGAGGGAGGAGGAGGAGGAGGAGGAGGAGGAGGAGGAGGAGGAGGAGGAGGAGGAGGGGAGGAGGAGGGGAGGAGGAGGAGGAGGGGGAGGGGGAGGGGGAGGAGGAGGAGGAGGAGGAGGAGGGAGGAGGGAGGGGGGAGGAGGGAGGAGGGGGAGGGAGGAGGGAGGAGGGAGGAGGAGGAGGGAGGAGGGAGGAGGGAGGAGGGAGGAGGAGGGAGGAGGGAGGAGGGAGGAGGAGGAAGGAGGGAGGAGGAGGGAGGAGGGAGGGGGCGCCGGGGGCGCCGACCCCCCTGGGCGGTGGCGCTCCCGAGCCACACCCACTGCAGGATGTCGCCCGGGCGTGCCATCGCCCAGGGGTCGGCGCTCCCCTCCTGGTGGGCTCTCTCGGTAGCGGCGGCCCCCTCTCGGCGACGAGCGAGGGGGAGAAGTGGGAAGGGGCGGGCCTTCTCAGAAGGCTCGAAAGTGCCCGGCCCTTCTGAGCAGTGTTCTAAGCCCTTCCCGAAGACATGGAAAGCCTCTCAGCAGGCGCGAGGGTTTCGGAGAAGCCCCGCCGCCCTCTGAGAAGGCCTTCTCCTGCTCGCTTCCCCCCCCTCGCTCGCCGCCAACCATCTGCTCCTCCGAGGTGCTGCCGGGGTTCCCCGACGAGGTGCCCCCCGGTGCCGCCATGACCCCTCCGGCCCGGAGTCGCGGTCTGGCCCGAGAGCGGCCTCGTGCCCAGCGGGGGCGGCGGGGGGGGCCGGATGCGCGAAGGTCATCGCGCATAGCGGGGCGCGCTGCGCGAAGCTGGGTTGTCACCCTGACTCCCCGGGGGCCCCGGAGGAGCAGCAAGCGCACAGAGGCTTCCAAAACGTGCGCTCGGCTTTTGCGGAGCGGCGCTGAACCCCCCCCCTTGGTGGTGCCTCTAGCGCCGCGCCTGGTCCGCTCCGCGCGCCAGGGGGAGAGGGTCCAGCGCCAGCCCCCAAAAAACAATTTGCGCGGACCCTCTAATTCTTAGAAAAGAGAAATCCGTCCTCGGGGGGATTCCTGGAACTCAGCGGAACCGCAATGGGTGCTCATGGACGGGTACTTCTAGAATCCCGTCAAAAGGGTTGTCACTTTGGAGAGTACCCTTCAGTGGAGCACCCGTCCGGGGGGAGCCCCAGAGCTCAGCAGGGCCCGTTACATTTTGGAACCTTTGTCTTTCGAGGAAACGCAATCATGAATTAAGGCGCGTGGATGAGAGACGGGTTCCGTTTCCATTTAGAATCAGGCGTCGTTGATTTCATGTTGCGCCCCGATGCGTGTATTTGGCGCCCACGTGCCAGATCCACGGATCCGTACTCCATGTTGGCGTGTGCCCGAGCGTCACACTTCGGGGCCCCAGCCGCCAAGACGGGGGTTGATGACTAGCGAGCGGGGGGGATCTCATGGCCGGGGCCATGATATCTCCCCGGATCTCAGGGCCCCCTCTTCTTCTGTCAACGCGCCCCCTGGGGGGCGCACGTGCCCCGGGCCATGATTCGCGAGCCCACCTCTTGGACGCCCCCCTCTCGAACGCTCCCGAGTGGCGCCAGAGCTCCCTGCGCTGCGCGCAGGGGTGCGAAGGCCACCGTGCGCCGCGCGCCGCGGCCTGGACTGGAGAGCGGCCTGGACGCGTTGGCCCCGAGGGCCAACGCGTCCTGCTGGGCCACGTGCCTCCCCCCTCCACCCCACCCGTGCGCGCACGTGTCTCGGGCCACGTTCCGCGACCCCCCCCCCTCCGGGACGCCCGCCCACTTGGACTCCCCCGCGCGCCGATATGCTGCCATCCAGAGTCGCCCGGCCACGCCCACTCATGACCACCCGCCCGACAGCGGGGTTGCTCTCGCCGAGGCGCATGGCTGCACATGCGGAGGCTCCCAGCGCGCGTCTAGGTGCGGCGCCGGCGCCGCGAGCCTTGGGGCTCGGCGGTTCGCCCCCAGTCACCGCGACCCTGCCCTGATTTGCAACCCCCGCCGAGAGGTGCTGGACTCGCTGGCGGACACCGCCCTGGGCGAGTGGGCCAAGGGCCTCCACGAGCACCAGGAGCACAAGGCAGGGGCCTTCAGGGCGCTGCGCGCAGACGTCCCCCCTCAGCGGCCACGCTGTGGATGGGCTCTGGGGGATAGGCTCTCCGTTTTCGGAAATTGTCCAGAGCTCTCGTAAGTTCTCGCACATCTTCGAGACCCGGGGTGGTTTCCAACAGCTGCGCCTCGTCGAGAGCCTTTCGGGGGTACGGGACTCGTCCCGAACGGCCGCCGGAGAGCCGAGTTACGGCACGACTGCCAGGGGCAACGTTTGGGGGCGACCGGCTCAGGGGCGGGAATAGATCGACCCCGAATCACCCACTGCTCGCCGCTAGAGGCCCGATGGCCCGCCCCGCCCAGGAACGTACGGGTTCGCTATCGGGGGCCTGTCGCCGATCTATCGGCGATGTATCGCCGATCCGATTCCAGGTTGATGCTTTCCCCAAGTGAGCCAGCCACGACGTTGAGGTCAGCGCCACTTTGGGCTCAGCAAGGGCTCCAGTTGTTCGGGGCGTTCCTTAGCTAGCCTTTGCTTAAGTGATCCGCGGGCCCCAGGGCTGAAGTGTTGAGACCGCCCTGTGCCAGAGTCTCAGGCGATCGCAAACACGTTTGCGACGGGTCCCGGTTCGTTCCATTTTTGCGGGCCCCAAGAGTCGGCGGGCGCCAACGGTGCACATGCACCGCACATGTGCACCGATCTTGGCCAGGCCAGTCCTGGGCCCAGGATGGGTGCAGATGCCTCCGTCGCCAAGCCAGGAGGGCGCACACGCCGATCCTGTGCCCTGGATTTACGTCGGACATTTCCCTCGAAAGGAGGAACATTCAATAATAGTAAACAAAACAGGGAACGATACTTTTACTATTTTTGATTATTGTTGAACATGGTTTGGTCATTTTTATTTTTCCTCCAATGCCCTGGATGGGCCCGGCCAGGATTGGTGCAGGTGTGCAGATGGGGCCCTCCAGGTATGCCCTGAGTGGCGAGCCTGCGTCTGGAGAGGGGGGGGGGCGGGAGGCCGTCTGCGCGCAGCCCCGAAGCCCTTGCCACCTCGAAGAAGTCATATCGGCACAAGCACAGCGCAATTTTCGGAGGCCCGCGCGGGTTTGCGTTCTGGATCGGCGCCCCCTGGCCCCCTCCCTGGCGCGCGGAGCTCGCCAGGGGCGGCGCCGGGGGCGCCGCCAGGGGGACCCATCCAGGGCGGGAATGTATCCATAACCATCGCCTGTGTGATCGAGCTTCAGGGACCGACCTCGGCAGGCGGTGGTTAAGAACACGCTCGGGCCCTGGGGGGGGAACAGGCGGTGGCTGTGGACAGCTTCCCGCCTTGAGCCCAGGCGCCGATCCAAGAAACATCATCGCGAGCTCTGCGAGAGTTCATGGGTGCCGCCTTTTCTTCCTCGAACGTCTCGGGCACGGCCTCTCCGCGGCGGCGGAGCCGCCGCCCATCGTGCCGATCCTGGAGCAGCTCCTGGCCGCCATGGCGGCGAACCCCGCCGACGCCTTCACCCAGGACTGGCGGCGCGCACGAGGCAGGCGTCGTGAGGTGGACGGTGGGCGGCCTTCTAAGATCGGGGGCACCGCTCGGGGCTGGATAGGCTGTTCTGTTAGGGGCAGCCGATAGGGGGTGGGGTGGGCGTAGGGGGGGATGCATCGACCCCCAATCACACATTGATCGCCAATAGGAGCCCGATAGCTCCAACCTGCCCAGGAAGGCGCGGAGTCACTATCGGAGGCCCATCGCCGATCTATCGGCGATGTATCGCCGAATCCAGGTCGATGCATCCCCCCCTATGCCAATCCCCCCCTATCGTTGCCCCGCATTCTTTGTGGGGAGGAGATCCGGGGCCCATCGCAGCGAGCGCCAGGAGCACAAGGCAGGGGCCTTCAGGGCGCTGCGCGCGGACGGCCCATCTCAGCGGCCACGTTAGGCGGGATGGGTGGCTGGGGGATAGGCTCGCCGTTTTCGGAAATTGTCCAGAGCTCTCGTAAGTTCTCGCACATCTTCGAGACCCGGGGTGGTTTCCATCAGCTGCGCCTCGTCGAGAGCCTTTCGGGGGTACGGGACTCGTCCCGAACGGCCGCCGGAGAGCCGAGTTACGGCACGACTGCCAGGGGCAACGTTTGGGGGCGACCGGCTCAGGGGGGGGAATAGATCGACCCCGAATCACCCACTGCTCGCCGCTAGAGGCCCGCTGGCCCGCCCCGCCCAGGAACGTACGGGTTCGCTATCGGGGGCCTGTCGCCGATCTATCGGCGATGTATCGCCGATCCAACTGCCGAGTCTTTCGGCGCTGCACCGTTGCCGGGCCTTCTTCTTTGCGTGTCGTGACGTTCGTAGCTTGGATAATCCGAGAGTGTCGCGTCAGTGTGCCCAGCTTGATTGTTCATGTTGCCCTTCTGGCTCGCACTCTGGTTTGTGGCGTCTGGCCTAATCATCTCTGCAGTGGCGTGTGCAAGTCCAGCCTTGCCGCCGCTCACTCCGTTGATGGGGCTCGCTGCCCTTTTTTCTACCAGATGAATGAGAACAAACCAGAAGCGATCGCTCCCTCGTAGGAAGAAGCTGGGGGCGCCTCCGCAGGAAGGGGCCTCCTTAGAAGCCCTCCAGACTTCTGGGCAGCCCTCTTGGAAGCTCCCAGGCCCCCCCCCCGAGGAGGCCTCCTCCCCCCAAGGACACCCCCCGCCTTCTCGGAAGGCCGCCCCCCTCGCGCCCGCCTGGCTGGCGAGCGCCGCCGGCCAGGAGCAGGGCTGCGAGGCTATCAGGAACCTGGTCGTGGACAGCGACTCGTGCCAGGCGGTTGCCGAGCGCGGCGGCGTCGGCAGGGTGGTCGCGGCCATGCGCCTCCACCCCGACTCGTCCGGCGTGCAGGGCCACTGCTCCGGGACCTTGACGCACTTGGCGAACAGCCCCCTGGCGCCCGGGGGAGGGAGGAGCGCTGCAGTCGGGCCGAGGCAGAAGATCGAGGTCGGTTCGGGGAGGGTACCCCGGTGTTCTTCGTGTTCGTTGGATGTCATTGTGCATCCTGGTGAGGGCACCCTCGGATGTTCTGTTTGTTTTGGTCGACGGAGGTTCGCACGTTCTTGAAGGATATTCTTCTGGCCTAAACAGGTCCGACTGTACACGGGCAGAAGGTGTCGGCGCCCCGCACTGGCGTACGGAATGGTCCTGGTCAAGGGTCCAGGCGTTGAGACGAGGACAATCTTGGACTCAGGAAGGGCCCTGGCGTTCGGGCCGATCCGTGGATCGGGATCACGGCGCAACATGCATGGCCAAGTGTCGCCGCGGTCAGAAAGAACGCCTCCGTTCCTTGCTTCTTGCGCAACGCGATGACTGGATGCCGTCGTGGGGGTCCCGCGCCGATCCGAGAAAAATCCGCACGGGGATCCGAAAATTTATGCTCGCATGCCCTTTCCGCTCTTCCCCTGCAGGCGCGCCAGCAGATCGCCGAGGGGGGCCTGCAGGCCGCCATCGCGGCGATGGCCCGGCACGGGGGCTCCGAGCTGGTGCAGTACAAGGGGTGCGCCCTGTTGGCGAACTTCTGCACCAGCGATGAGGCCGCCGCCAGCGCCGTCGGCGGCGGAGTCGGCGTCTGCGACTGCCTCGGCGTCGTCGGTCGAAGAAAATCAAATGGCGCAAACACACGCATTCGGAGATCCGCGCGGGTTTCTGGGATCGGCGCGCGCGAAGCGCGCCAGGGGCGGCGCCGGAGGTGCCGCCACGGGGACCCAGCACCGATGCAAGAAATCTGCGCGGACCCCTGGCATATGTGCAGTGTGACCGTCGTCGTCGTCGAGGCCGTCGTCCGTGGGCAATTTTTTGGGGGAGGACAGGCGCAGAGGGTGAATGCATCGACCCCCAATCGCCCATGCGTCAATAGTTACCGAGCGCGTGACGCTACTCGCAAAGTGCCTACTCGCACAAGGTCCAGGCCATTTGCGATTTGTTTTTTTGCGAGTAGTGCAACATTATTGTATAAATAGGGGCCTGGTAGCCCCTCCACAGAGCGTACGCGTGCGGGGCCTAATTATCACCGATCTATCGGCGATGTATCGCCGATTCCGGCTCGATACTTCTCATCCCCAACTTATCCTGGTCCGATGTTTTCCCGGTCTGGGTTTCGTCTCACCGGGGAGCCCTTATCGTCGCCCCTCCTCGTCGTCTGCGGGCCGAGGAGGCTGGAGGATCAAGGAGGGTCGAGGATGGTCGAGGATTTTGTTGTGATCGAGGACGATGGAGAAGGCCTGAGGGGTCAGGAGGTCTCCCCTTGTTGTTGCCGTTGCCCACGAGGAGACCGGCGTCCGATGCATCCTCCAGAACCGCCCGAACCTCGATGCTGCCCCTGCCCCTGCCCTGGCTTCGTCGTTCCCCCATCGTTGCCCCTCGCCGCCGTGAGCCGCAGCCGCCGCCGCCCACGAGGAGACTGGCGCCCTGCTCATGCTCCAGAACCGCCGAGGCCTCGACCTTGCCCCTGTCCTGGCCTCGTCCTGCCCTCTCGCTGCCCCGCGTCGTCGTCTGCCGCCGCCGCTGCCCGCGAGGAGCAGGCGCTGGCTGCCGCGGCCGGCGCCGTGCCCGCCGCCCTGGGGGCCATGAGGCTGCACGCGGGCGCTGGCCGGGTGCAGGACCATTGCTTCGGGGCCCTGTACAACTTGGCCAGGCCCCTGCGCTCGCTCCTTCCCGCTCGTCCAGCCCCTCTCGCTCCGCACGCGGCACGCTCGCCCATCCTGCAGGCCTCGGTTCAGCGCACGTGCTTGCCCGTCGCAGGTCGGCTCGCGCGGTGTTCCCGGTTTGCCTGGCGACCCCTTGATTCGAACAGCGGTCGAGGCCGAGTCGGGTGAAGTGTTGTGGTCGCGCTGTCTCCTTCTTAACAAGAAAACCTTGCCAGGCCGCGAGGAGGAACAACGACATCGCTGTTTTCAACAGTTGTCGCAATTTCTCTGATGTTGCCGCGCGTTTTCGAAACCCGGGATGGCTTCCATCGAGTGTGAGTAGTCGAGAGTGTTTTCGGGGTGCCCAGATATTCCCGAACAGCCGCCGGGGAGCCAGAAATTGCGGGGCAGCGTTGAGAGAGGCCATGTACAATTTGACCAGACATCGAGGAACGAACGACAATTTCGGGGGCAGCATTAACCCTCTAGCAAAAGATGCATAGATATAAATTCTGTGAGGTCCGCACGGAGTTCTCAGATCTGCGTAGGGGGCTCATGGCGGCGCTTCCCGCGCCGCCCCTGGCGCTCTCCGCGCGCGCTAGGGAGGGAGGCCCAGCGCAAATCCAAGAAATCCGCGCGGAGTTCTGAGAAATGATGTTGATGCCGGTTTTCCTACTAAGAGGGGCTACGCTCACCGGGGCTGCATCGGCCTTCCGATGGGGGCTGGACAGCCCACCCCGCCCATGAGCATGCGGACTCGCTATCGGAGGCCAATCGCCGATCTATCGGGGATGCGTTGCCGATTCCAGATCGATGTTCCCCCCCCTCAGCGGGTCCCTCCTAACGTTGCCTCTGAGTCAAAGAATAAAAGGCAATTGCGCCAACATAACTCTCGGAGGTTCACTGCGACGGAGGCGCTGCAAGGGATCCAGCGCCGATCCAAGAGATCCGCGCGGACCGCCGAAAGTTTCTTGAGCGGGGCTGCTCCAGAGCGCTCTGGAGCGCTCTGGAACGGCTGCGGCGTCCGAAACTCTGAGATCCTGGAGTTGTCCCAGTTGTGGCTTCGTCTTAGTGTACGTCTGTGCCGAGAGCTGTTCCTCCACAGGCACGCGGGCAGCCGCGCCAGCATCAGCTCCTCGGGCGGAGTGCAGGCCACGAAGACGATCGACGATCGGCGGCGGCGACGCCTACGACGCCGACGACGGCGACGGCGGCGACGACGCAGACGACGACGCCGACGATGACGGGGCAACGACAGCAATCGGCGGCGGCGGCGGATAATTGCTGACGGCGGCGGCTGGAAGGCCGTGCAGCGGGCCATGCAGGCTCACCCGGAGTCCGACACGGTGCGGGCGGTGGGAAAGGATCTTACACGAAAGGCAGCCATACACCATGTTTTCCTATGGCCAGGGCGGGTGGTGCAGACCCCCTTCTGGTGACGGCCAGGTGGTTGTGTGTGTGTACCATCCCGGGGCCCAGCGGTGGTGGTGTATGGTTGCCGCGTCCGAGGAGCTGCTGAGGCTGCTCTGGGCAGACTCCGCCGAGAGGTCGCTGCCAGACTGACCGTGGGGCCGGGGGCACGGTCCGAGCCGCCCCCTCCCGTTCTCGGGTGGTGCCAAGCGTGTCCCCGACCCAAGGTGCGCTGGATTTCCATCCGAAATGGGGTGGAGGAGAGGGCAAGGCAAGAGCAAGAGCAAGTTCCAAGCTCGAGGCTTCTTCGCAAGCTCCCTCATGCCTGTCCCATGCGGCATGTGACGATTACATGTTTGTCGACCATTGGGTAAGCTTGCGGACGAGTTGCTTTGCGTATGCAATGTGACGCCCCGTTCATATTTGGCATGTCTTCTGTAAGCGTTGAGCTGCCAGTTGCATGGCATCCAAATGCGCCTATCCAGTCAGAAGGTGGTACAAGTGGTGTTCCAATCAAGACCCGTGCAGTCGCCGCATAAGCCCGTAGTTGTGGACCAGTGGGTGTTGGATGGTGTTGTAAGGCTGGGATAGGATGCCTAGGCCCCAGGCGACAACATGCTCATGCGTTGATGGAGTGCATGCGGTAAGTAGTCAGCGTATCGGATGATTTTGGCATAATCTGATAGCTACGACGAAGGCGTTTTCGAAGACCAGCGAGCGTGTCAATGAGGTTGCCGCTTGCCGCAGGACTGGGATGTGCGGCCCATGCAATGCCTTCTACTTGAATGTCCTACTGGTTCGTTGATCGATTGGAGCCATCTGAAGACATCGTTTTGAGATCGCACCCCTCTTTGTAATGAGCATGTCCATAAACTTGTATACCTTTGTCACAGCATACTTGCAGATCCTTCGTCTGACAGGGCATGTCGTCCCGCAAGTATCCATGAACAGAGCATGAGTTATTCCTCGTGTCGTGCAGTTGCCCAGAGAATCGCTTTGACGAAGCTCATCTGGGGGAAGCCCGGCAGACGGGATCGGCAAGCCACCAGACTCTTTGCCCAGTGGCGCCTGCGGGCTCGGAAGCTTTGGAGAGCAATGGGTAAAGCAGCCCAACATGTTCTTATCGTGGGCCCCACATGCAACTCTCGATGCGTGCGGGGGGTAGACAGAAGCCATGCGCCAGCATGGCGCTTCGGCACAGGCCTGCGCAGCATTCCTGCTTTGTAGGGGTATTGCGGGCTGTGTGGACAGCGAGCATGCCGAGCGCATGCGAGAGAGCACCGACGCGCCACATGCGCGCCTGGGGCAAGGAAGCAGCAAGCAGGCGAGCGCCAAACGCGCCAAGGCTGAAGTCCGCCAAACGCTCTGCGATGAAGGTGAAAAGATGAGAGGTCGATTTTTGTGTGCCATGGCGCGTCCAAGCGACTTGCAATGCGACGAAATAGATGCAAAGCTCTCACGCATAGTTCCCCTTCTTCTCTCTGCATCAAGCTGCAATCTGCCCATTGCAACTTGGGCCAGCCCCTCTTTCGATTCGTGCGCCACTGCCTCGTGGAACCTCCGTGGCTAACAAACGATAGTTTATGCAAGTCGTCTGTTGGCACTCGCGATATTCTTACGTAAGATTGCAGCTGTTTCTTCCATAATGTCTCATTCAACGGTTCCGCCCGTGTTATCCCCAAAACGGTTGCGTTGGAGATGCGAGAGTGATGCGATGTTTTATGTTATGTGTTTTTCGAAGGCTATAGTTTGCAATCCAATGCGTGTCCGCTTGCAATATTTAGCCATAGCGCCTCTGAGTCATATAATTGTGGTTCCGCCGTTGCTTCGAATAAGCTGATCTGGCGGTTTCGATCGCTATTTATGTGGTTCCAGAATGTTTCCAAATGTTTGACAAAGTTGTTTTGCTTCGCCCAGCCGCCTTGTAATTTCTGTTGTGTAAAAATCTCCAAAGTGTATTGGTTGTTGCACTTGCTTGAACGGCTTCGATACCGTACCATTGTCGTGCAGATTCATTTCAACAGTTTTGTCCCAGTTTGAATCTATACCGTATTGTGTCCCCATTTCGATCGTCAAATTCAGAAGCATTTGAAGTTTGGATTGGTTGGCATACAATATGGTTCTTGCCAAACGATCACCATGTTTTGGTAGGTGCGGTCGACGTCATAGAACAAGATGGTTTGGAGGAGGACGGAGAGAAAATGTTGGTGAAAAAGGGTATTTTTAGCAATGCTCTCCCGTTGTTGCTTGACGCTGGCAGCATAAGATTTGATTCAGCACACCTACCGGGATAAATCTGGTCTGGGTAGATCCTTGTTTGGGATCTTCCACGGAGCCCCCCACAGCCGAAGGTACTTGGTGCCTCCAGCGTGGTTTCCCGGAGTGTAGTTTTTCCGCACGATTGTGGTGACAGACAGGCGCGCTCACTGATTGCGCTCGTCACGGTGAACGCCAAACGCGGGTTGCGAAGGTGGCAACGCCACAACGCACGCGTGCGCCATCGCGCCGGTGGAGCGGCAGGGCAAGCTCCGAGATTCATCGGCATGCTCTGGAATGCAGTGACATGCGCCGCCAGGCGTCCCAATGCCGCCGCGGATGGCTCGGAGGAACCCCAACTCCCCGAGGATCCCAGGAAAGCTGTAAGCGAGCCCGAGGAATGCTCCCAGAGGGCCCAAATAGGAGGAGGAGATGGAAGGCCCGAGGAATCCTGCCAGAGAGCCCGAGGAATGCTCCCAAAAAGACCCCAAGAGGGTACCAGATATGTGCTACGGTCCAAGACGGCCTGACGTCCAGGTTGGGTGGGCAGATGGTGGTTCTCGTTTGTGATGCATGATTCCGTTTGATTTGCGGTATTCTTCTTCGGGCCCAGTTGGGATCGATTTTCTTAAAGGCTCTTTGGGGGAGTCTTGAGCCCCCCTCAGGATTACCCCGAGTGTCGAGGTGGCACCCGGGCAGCCTCCATGAAGAGGTTAGACTATTCGTGCAAGGCTGTGCATTTGTAACGTTACCCGTATTGAACAATTTTGTTTTTTCGTGTGCAAGTGTGGCTAAAGTTCCACGCCGCCAAATGGTTTCTATGCGTAAGTTGTCGACCTTCCATTATATCTACGTGCTTCCGAAATTTGTCTTTTTTTGTTCCATGGTGTTGTTGCCCGATGCGGGAGATCGGGCTGCTCTTGGG